GGAGTGCTCAGCGACGGCTCATAGTGAGGCAAAGCAAGCCCCTTTCGTCACGACAGTGTGACAGGGTTCCAGCAGAGGTGGCGGTGGCTGCAGCGGCAGCCACGACCATTTCGTCTGGTGATGGTGGCGAGCTCCCTGGTGGCAATGAGATGGCCGGCGGCAGCAGTGGTCTTAGGTGGTAGTGGGACTTCTCAGGCAGTAGCATCACAAGGAACGAAGTCCTCAAAGGGGTATCGATGGCCTTCCTCTTCCTCCTTTCCTCCCTATCCTAGATCACAGAGAAGGTACTCACAAAATGATAATCTCTCTCAAAAATATAGTGCTCTTTTGAGGGGGGGTCCTACCTCCCCTTATATGGGGGCCCACAAGTGGGCTAAGGGGAGGTGGGTCCACTTAAGACCCTCAAGCCCATAAGCCACAAAGGCTACAAAAGGGGCTTATTGGGCCTCTTAAAGAGAGATCCAATAAGCTCCCCTAAAAGGAGAAAGAGGGAGGCCCTCTTATGGTGCTTAAGTGGGCCTCAAATGAAGACCCAAATAAGCCCCAAAAGAGGCCCAAAAGGAAAGACACATAGGTTCCCCCCCTTAGGGTTTTAATTGGGCCTCAAAGAGAGACCCAATAAAATCCTAAAGAAAGGGAGAAAAACAACAACACACACACATAGAAATGGGCCCGCTAACACACAAATGTGAGGCCCAACAAGTCAACGTGAAAATACAAAGAAAGATACGGGTGAGCTTGAGCTCGTCATCGTCGCAGAGGTGGAATGTTGTCGTCCCAAAGGGCTAGGCTGCATAGCGAAAGCCAAGCTCCTTCATCTTTGTGCGTCGATCAGGCTGAACTCAGACTACCGATGTCTCCTAAGCTAATGGAGATGGGTCTTGCTTGCCATCATACTCCTTCAACACATAATATATAACATGGATTTGATTTTACAGATTTTTTACTTCATGATCTTGATGGATAGTACTTACTTAATGTGAAAATTTGATTGATCATTTGAGTTTAATGGAGATTTTTGTACCCCAATCTATAGGACCTGTGAGGAAAAATTACTTATTTCGAAAAAAAATAAAAAAGAAAGAGCAATGTGAAAAATCTAGAAACGAAGAGTACACATAGAGGGTGTGAGACATTATTCTCATTATTGAAAATCATGTATAGAAAAACACTTACTGTAAAATAAGTGGATAAAGTGAAAGCCCTGAAAATGAAGTGTACACATAGAGGGTGTGAGACATCATTCTTATTGTCAAAATTTTTCTACGAAAAAAGCTACTTATCCACTATATATATAAAAAAAAAGAGAAGGAAGAAATATAGTACAAACTTCAAAAATCAAGCCATGAAAAAAAGGAAATATAAGATCAATATATATTCTTGGATGAGTATTAATAATTAGAACATCTTGTAAATATATCTATGAGTGAAGAAGTGATAAAGATGTGAATAGAAGAAGTGAAGTCTAGATTGTTATTCGAAGAAATGCTTAAACATTTAAGTGCTTGACATCATTCTTAAATACTTGATATAAGAATCTAAAGTGTCTAAAGGTGCATCATTTCTGATTGTATTTTTTTTCTTTTTATGTATTGAAATATGATGTTTGAGATTTGTAAATTTTTATTTTCGTAATTCCATTGCTAAGGGACTAGCAATGATTTAAGTTGGGGGGTGTGGTAAGTCTTAATTATCATGAGTTAATAATTAGTAAATAATATAGTTTTAGCCTTAATTCATGATAAATAGACTTATATTTATGTTAAAGTGTGAAAAGTTGTTTTCAATTGATTAACGTGAATTTTTGGGTAATTATGTGGCTTTATACGATTTTACATGATTTTTATAGTTTTACTTTTGAGATAAATGAAGAAAAAGAAATTAAAATAAAAATAAGACAAAATGGGGGGACCCACTGGCCAATTGGGCCTACAAGTAGATCGGAAGTGCAATCGGGGAGTAGCTGTGAGTAGGGGCTCGAGTGGCTTGGACCAATTGGACACATGTGCGCCACCCCCCTTCCATGTCACTGGTGGCCAATCGACTGTGGGACAAGGAGTGGTCGTACACATGCGAGAAAGGGACTTGATCAGAAATGTAGTATTACTATATATTCACTAGAAATTTCAGCACACAATTGATGTGGGACTTTTTAACCCACGTCACACCTCCCCAGAAAGGGCGAGGATGCAACCGGTGCAGGTTCAAATCCTCCCAAAGCCAAAATTTATATTTTATTTATTTGATTATCGTGACTTTCCTACAGATCGTTGGTGAAGAATTAAGCAACTAGAATCACTGAATCATTGATGAAAATCTTGTCAACACGATTCGTGGAGCATTGTTACTAAAATTGCTAAACGATTCGCGATAAAAGCATCGCAAATCCATCAAGTAACTCATCTCTAATTGATCGACGAACAAGCTGTCATTGGGAAGAGGACAATCTGTTGGGAGACGAGTCACCACCTCTTGAGAGCATACTAGATGCAATGAAGAGCCTCTTCTTGCTGCACAGATCTGAGGTTGAAGCTTCTTGACACACACCTCACCTGCATCTAGCTCTTCTTTGTCGGGTGACAGCCACTAGAGAGCCGCAAAGTTGTCATTTTCCCGTTCTACTAGGGGTGACAGCCGCCAGAGAGGATTCAACAACCCATTCATTGATCTTTAGACTTTGCAAGGAGATCTAGAGATTGCTCACATTGTCTTTGTCCAAGGAGAGCCTTCAAGGCCATGGACATTGCACGACAATCCTCCCAAATGCTCAAGATTCTGGTGCATCGCCGACGCATCACCGCCTTGACGTCGGAATTTTATTTTCCTACTTTCAACTTAATTTTCGTTCCATTTAGTGATAATTTGTTGATTTTAAATTTACAAAGATATACTTCATTTCATTACGATTCTTCTGACTTTTGTAAGAATCACTAGGTGGAACTCTATTTTCACCCGATTTGCATTCGCCAAGTGCTAGCATCATCCTGATGTCTACACCCGTATTTCTTTTTTTTGTAAATTTTAAATATATTTCATTTTCATTTACTAGTATAAAATTCATAGAAAATAGTATTCTTTGAGGACAATTTTGGATAATTGCCAGATACTATATTACATCCCTCTGATTGACCTAGAAAATTACCATTATTTTTGAAATTTTTATTGAATTATAATTGATATATTTATTCAGAAATATTTCTAAATATCTGAAAATTCATATTTTCTAGTTTTATAAATTTTAAATTTGCATGATTTACAATACAACGACTAAGTCACATCAATAATCAATGTATCCCTTTCTAACATGTGTATGGCCACTCTTTGTTGCATGCCTAATTGGTCATTGGTGATGTGGAAGGGGAGTGACGCACATGTGTCCCCCTATCAGTTTATCTTTAGCCGCTCAAGCCCTTACTCATGATTCCGCCTATCAATACTTCCAACCTATTTATGGGCTCGACTAGGTGGCATGTTTTCTCTTTCTTCTATCTTTTTATTTTATTTCTCTTTATTTAACTCAAAAATAAGATTATAAAAATTATATAAATTCACATAAAATCCCATAATTAGCAAAATTAACTAACTAAAAACTATTTTTCATAATTTGACGTAAATATAAGTCTAAATATCATGAGTTAGGATTAAAACTATATAATTAATTAATTATTAACTCATGATAATGAAGACTTATCAACCATCTTCACTAAAGTATGTATTTTTTGATTAACATCAAACTTATCCAATGATTATATCATCGTATTTGTCTAAGGATCAAGAGAATAGATTACTTGATGTACTTAGGACATAAAGAGAGGTGATTGGCTGGTCCCTAGCAGATATTTGAGGACTTTATCTATTTGTGTGTATGCACATATTTTATTGTGAGCAGAACTATCATTTCTTTTTATGCATTTCCTTACTAGCTTTTGTTTCAGACATATTTTATTGGTCGAGTGCTTTAGTTAGAACTATTCAGGGGCAACAATGTAGTAGATGGGGCATAAAAATCAGAATTTTCTTTGCTTTTCCCTCCTCTCACATGCATTAAGGACAATGCAAGACTTAAGTGGGGGAGCTTATCTCTTCCTTCATTTGCATGCATTAGAGATAATGCATCATTCAAGTAGGGGGGAGAACAAAAAAATTCAAAAATGTTCTGAATATTTTAAAACTTTTGCTGCATTGATTATTTGCACAAACACGTATGCTTAAACGAACAAAGCCTAATGCTCCTTTAAAAGGGTAAGTCAATTAGAAAAGTTTACCTTCTCTAGATTAGGGGTGTGGATCTCATGAAAAAAAGATAGGTGAATTCTTTACCATGATCATTATTCTTTGAAGTATGAAGGAGTTTTAGGTTGTATTCATGGGTATGTGGTGCGACAATAAATGGCTAATGATAGTATATTGTGGATGAAAACGATTGAACTAGATCATCTTAGTCTAGTTATTATGTTGTGGTTGATAAGTCTTCATTATCTGTATTTACCTTATATTTATCAGTATTTAGTGCATAAAATTAATGAAAATAATACATGTTACATTTAATTCGTATGCATTCAGATCATTCATACATAAACATGTATTTTAATACTTTAAAAATTATTTTAAGATAATTAATTTTAAATAATTATGCATGAAATATTTTTTATGTGAGTTTTAGGATTTTCTAAATTTTATCCTGGATTTTTTGAAATTTTCTAGAATTTCTCATAATTTCTAAGAGGTTTTGATATAAAGGTCTAAAATAAAAGAAAATCAGAATGAGTTGGGCTGGGCCGAGCCAAGTGACCCAATGGGCCGGAATATTCAGAGGCTAAAAGTTAAACCATCAACAGGTCGACAGTGGAAGCAGAACCGACGAGTTGGCATGACACTTAAGCAGATGTGGGACACGTGGCCCACACGGGTTCGACGACATTTCAACGGACATCGTGAACAGAAATTGGCACAATTTACGTCAGACCTCAAAGAGAAATGTAATTGGAGATCCGTACCTAATGGCAGAACGTGAAAGAAGAGCGGGTGATAGAGTAAGGCTGTCATTGATCTCTCTTTCTTTCGCGCCTTTTCTCGCTCCCTTTGTCTGTCTGCTCTCTCTCACTCTATCTTGCTCTCGCTTTCTTTCTGTGGATGCGTCCTCGCTCTACGAAGCACGGCGGAGTTCGGACAGCCTGCCGCCTTCTCCTCTCCTCTCCGTCGAGTTCTTCTGGAACCCTTTCTCGTGCGCGAATCCGGAGGAAGAGTGGGAGGCCGCATCCGGCGGAGGAGTCCACCGCCGAAGACGCCGAGGTCACGGTCGGCGCCGCCTCACGGAGAGGTCGTACGTTCCCAGGCTTCTGCTTCCCTGAAAGGCCGCTCCGGGTATGTTCTAGTGCCGTCTTTCGACGAATTCTCGCCTTTCGTTGATCCGGGGGTTATGTTCTAGTGCCGTCTTTCGATGGGTTCGTGATTTTCTGTGTCGGGGGCATCTTCTTGTGGACTCTTTGGATGGGATCTTTATTTTCTTTGATTTGGACTTTCGGTTGCCTGCGGTGGTGCGGGTGGTGCGAGATTGCTGAAGAACGCTCTGGCTTTCCTCCTTCCTCTTATTTATTTACCTTCTTCCGATTTGTTTTGCCGCTTCGTTGCTGATTCGATTTGATGTTTGGTCTGGGTAGGGGGATCTATCTTCTTCTTTAGACTTCCATCCGATTGCTCTTTGGGGACGGATGAGTGTTACCGTCTGGAGGAGAAAAGATTATTTCAGCAAGGTTTATCGATTGACGGTGACGGGTGAGCGTGTTGAATCAAGGGGCACATTCGATTTTCGGATCGCTGAGCGATCGACCAGTTTCTGGAGAAGAACCCGGTGATTTCCGGCAGGAAACAACACCCTCCGTACCTGCAGCTCTCCCGAGCGTTATTCCCCACCCAGAAAAACCATCAGAACTTGGTGGCGGGCTGTCCTGTTGAGAAAGCAGCTGGAATCGAGGGAGGAAGTGTGGACGAGGTTGTCGGGCTACAGGAGGAAGCGAGGATGTCTCCCATCCCGGATCGGGTACATGCTTCGACGTCCCTCATTCCTTTCCTTGACGGCGACTGTAGAGAGCTTTCTCTCTCCATCCCAAAGCACATCACATCTTGACAATAGGAATGTCCTATCCAAAATCGACAGGTGCAGGTCGGAAATTCTCCATTATACAAGGTAGAGAGAATGTTGGGTGCAGGAGGTTTTGGGCTGGTCTACATTGGACGAAGGGTGGCTGGTGGATCTCAGGGCAATGGGCCCAATGCCTTTAAGGTTTAGTTTCAACCTCCCATCACTCCTGCCAAGGGAATCTTTAAATACTGCTGTTTTATGTTGTCTCTTTCATTTTCCTGCGGTGGGTGTAGGTAGCACTGAAGTTTGAGCATAGAAATAGCACGGGTTGCAGATTTGGCCCCCCATATGAATGGCAAGTTTATGAGTAAGAAGACACCCCCTACTGCTCTAATTTATTACGTATTGTGTCGATCTAAAACTACGTTCTTCATCTGACTTTGTGAATATGGTTTTAGCCATCTCAAGGGATGCTATGGATTGCCTAGGGTGCACTACAAGGGCCGCCAAGGAGATTATTTCGTCATGGTTGGCGTAGAGTCTTTCATTTTATTGTTTCCTCGAATTATGTTTTTTATTGAAAGCTAATTATGATATTGTTGATGATGATTGCTGCAGATCATGGACATCCTTGGACCAAGTCTCCTGGATGTGTTCATATCCATTGGGCAAGTGTAAGAAAATAATCTTGACTTCATATTCAAAGTCAATATTCTGTTGAGAATTGTGCTATTGAGTTTGACTAACTCCTTGGACAGAATGCCACCAAATATGGTGGCTTGTATTGCTGTGGAGGCAATATCCATCCTTGAGAAGCTACACCAAAAAGGGTACGTATGGCTTTGTGGCAGTGTGATATTTTTTCAATTAAATTTTTGCAAAGGTCACAGTAATCAATTCATTGCTCCCTTGTGCACTCCCCTCCCTCCCTCCACCCACACAAAAAAAAAAACATGCCAGGTTTGTGCATGGAGACGTCAAGCCAGAGAATTTATTGTTGGGTAAACCCGGAAGCTCAGGGGAGAAGAAGCTTTTTCTCATCGACTTTGGGCTGGGTATGTTGCTGCATTCCAATCACTTCTTGTTTTCACCTTTCGCACCTATTGATTTTAGAGTAGGGTTTGTTTTTCCAAGTATATAAACAAATTCGTCTTGACTGAGAAGTCCCTGTCTGTATCAACATCAGTGATATTTTTGTGCTTTGTTCAGAGCCTGTACAAATGCTAATTGGTGTCATTAATATTTTAATCAGCTTCAATGTGGAGGGACAGTTTGTCAGGCCAGCATGTCAGCTTATGCCAACAGCCAGATAATTTCAGGTTTTTTGGGAAACGATATTCTATTTTTTCCCTAAATTCTTAGCTAAGAGGAGGATTCATAAAATCTTACCCCTACCTTACTATCTATCTCATGTTCCCTAGGGGCACAACACGATATGCAAGCGTCCATGCACATTTAGGCCTCACAGCGAGTAGAAGAGATGATCTTGAGTCATTGGCCTACACTCTGATTTTTTTGATTAAAGGAAGGCTGCCGTGGGAAGGCTATCAGGTTTGCTTTCACCTCTACTTGTACATGTTCTCCCATCTCTTTGATTGATCACTTGCTGATTCTTATGCCAACTATGTAGGGGAATGACAAGAGGTTTCTAGTCTTCATGAACAAGACTGTAACCTCCCCCGAGACGCTGTGTGGTGGCTGTCCCCCTCCTTTTGCACAATTCCTTGAAGCAGTGAAGAAGATACAATTTGTTGAGCAGCCCACCTACTCGAAGCTCATTTCTCTTTTTGGAAGCTTGATATGCCCCCCCTGCACCCTGTTAAAGACCATTCGGATTGATGCAATTTTGAAGGTGGTTGCAAACATGACATCACTGAAATTACCTCACATATTTTTATTTTATGTCAGATGGTTTTATCTCTTTTTCATGGCTCTATCATCTGTTGTTAAATAGGCTGACCATGTTTCCAACAGGTTCACCAAAAACGTGGAAGATTGCAGGTAAATAATGAAGAAGATGAGTGTCATAGAAAGAAACGGATAAAATGTTTGATTGATGACAGACCATGACCATGTACATGTAAGAATATAAATAAAATCTGTAAAGTGCCAATTGAGAAAACATAAATCTCATGACTAAATTATTTATTATTATTGTTATTATTTATTCATAAAGAAAACGATAGTTTAAAAGCCTCATATTAAGGGCATGAATATAATACTTTTTTAATGTAATCATAGCTATTGATAAAAGTGTGTAATTAATATTTATGCAAAAACAGAAACTATATCAATCAATGATAATAATACAAGACAATCATTTAGAGGGCGTGAGTATAAGTAGATATTTATATCATAGTTACTCTTGCTAGGAATATGTATCATTTATTGCCAACATTTAAACTTTAGAAATGTTTTGTACCTACTATCTATTCACCTTAGAAATGGCACCACTTTGGACGTAACCTATTGAGTACAGGAATATAATATGTTTAAGTACATTCACACTTACAAATTATCAGAAATAATTATTAGACCGATAAATGTAAATTTTATGCATAAATAATGAATATTACTTTTTTATAAGAAAGCTGGCACATAAAAATACAGTATTAAAGGGAAGAAATCTAATATTATTTCATACAATCATAATGATTAGTTGCAATGAATAATTACTATAGTTTACCAAAATGAAAATTTTATCAGTAAATAAATGAACACTACAAGTATTGGATTAAATGGCACGAATTTGATAGTTTAGGTTATATTTATAATTACTAATCACTATGATTAAAATTATTTATTAGAATATGTAAAGTTATGAAGAAATAAGAATTATGTATTGGAAGCTTATGTGTCCACCAAAGGACACACATCCACCCCATAATGTGTTTAGAACCACATGTAGTCCAAAACTGAAAGTAATGTAATGTCGTAATTGGTTCCCATCATAGTAAAAGTATGATTTCTTTAGTGATGATCTAAAAATTAAGAAGCATCTAGATTCATAGAAGATTGGGTATATAAAGAGGAGTTTGAAATAAAAGTCGCATAGTTATGCTTTGTAATGTTTTCAATTTGAAAAGCATATCTTGACAAAGTTAAATCTTATATGATTCACATGAATGAATGTCATCGTATATACTTTTTATACATTGCACCCTCTAGATGTTTTCCTAAACTTGAAGAAAAATGTACCCATCGTCAAATCTTGATTCATTCTATTGATGAGTGGAAAATAAATTTCTTGTCTAAACTAAGACTTTAAGCATAAGTAGGAAGTTATTGTATTAACAAGTGTGCCGACCATCACATTTATAAGGATAATGAATTAATCATGGAAAGTATTTATTGAAACAAATTATTATCTATTTTGACTGTAGTCTAATGTACAATTGTAATTAAGAGTTACATAATTCTATATGAGACCCCTATTAAATGTTTTTGAGCCAAATCTATATTGTATATAAATAGTTTTACACATATAAAATAAGGTTTTTTTCTTTTTAAGAGCACATGTATAATATTTTCAAGTAAATTGATAATATTTTCAAGTATAATATTTTTACCTTTATTATTTGTTAATATAATGTCTTTTTTTGTCATAATAGGAAACCATTGATACATTTTCATTATCATGAGTTAATAATTAGTAAATAATATATTTTTAACCTTAACTCATGACAAATAGACTTATATTTCTGTTAAATTATGAAAAATAGTTTTCAATCGGTTAATATGATTGTTTTAGCTAATTAGGTAATTGTCTATGCATTTATATAATTTTTATAGTCCTATTTTTGAGATAAATCAAGAAAAAGAAATGAAAATAAAAATATAGCAAAAAGAGCGGACTTGTTAGCCAACTGGCCCTGCAAGCAGGTCAGAAGCGTAGTCAAGGGGAGCCACGAGTAGGGGCTCGGGTGTCTAGGACTAATGGGGGCATGTGTGTGCCACTCCCCTTCTACTTGATTAGTGGCCAACTAGGTTTGAGGTAAGGAGTGGTCTTACATGTGAGAGAAAAGTACTCATTACTTGTTGACATGAGTCAATCGTTGTATATTAAATCACGCAAATCTAAAATTTATAAAACTAGAAAATACAAATTTTTAGATATTTAGAAGTATTTCTAAATAAATATATCAATTATAATTCAATAAGACTTCCAAAAATAGCGATCATTTTCCAAGTCGAGCATAGAGATATAATATAATATGTGGTAAGTATTCATAATTTTTCTCAATGAATATGATTTTCTATGAATTTTATACTAGGAAATAAAAAGGAAATATATTTAAAATTCACAAAAAAGGAAAATAAGGGTGCGGATGTCAAGATGACATCAGTGCCTGGCAAACACGAATTAGGTAGAAATAGAGTTCCGTCCGACAATTCTTATGTAAGTGATTATATACGATTTAATTAATCAAATTAAGATTTATTAAAGTCAGAAGAATCGTAATAGAATGAAGTATATTTTGGTAAATTAAAATCACAAAAATTATCACTAATTTTTAATGAAACATAAAGTAAGTTGAAAGTAGGAAAATAGAGTTCCGGTGTCGTGATGGTGATGTGTCGACGATGCACTAGAATCCTGAGTATTTGGGAGGATCGCCGTGTAGTGTCCACAACCTCAAAAGCTCTCCTTAGACAAAGATGACGTGGGTCTAAAGACTTCCTTGCGAACTCTAAAGATCAATGAAGTGGGTCGTTGAATCGTCTCCAGCGGCTGTCACCCGGTAGAGCAGAAAAATGACGACTTTGTGGCTCTTTGGCGGCTGTCACCCAACGGAGAGGAGCTGGATGGCGGTGGGGCACGAGTCAAGGAGCTTCATCCTCCAGTCTATGCAGCAAGAGGAGGCTCTTCATCGCATTTGGTATGCTCTTAGGAGGTGGCGACTCGTCTCCCGGCAGATCATCCTCTTCCCGACAATAGCTTGTTCGTCGATCAATCGGAGATGCTTTACTCGATGGATTCATGATCTTTTTATGACGAATTGTTCAGTAATTTTAGTAATAATGCTCCGCGAATCATGTTGACGAGATTTTTGCCAATGATCTAGCAATTCTGGTTGCTTAATCCTTCATCCACGATCTACAGGAAAGTCATGATAATCAGATAAAAAAAATATGAGTTTTGACTCTAGTAGGATTCGAACCTATGTTGGTTGCTTGCCCTCCTTCTGAGGAAGATGTGACGTGGGTTTAGTCTCACATCGGTTCTGTGCCAAATTTATGAGCGAATATATAGTAATGTTAGATTTCTAAGCAAAGTCTCTTCTCTCACATATACAACCACTCCTTACCTCATAGTTAGCTGACCACAGTGACATGGAAGGAAAGTGGCACACACATGCCCCTATCTATCCAAGCCACTCGAGCCCTTACTCGCGGCTACTCCCCAACAACGCTTTCAACCTGCTTGTGGGCCTGGCTGACTGGCGGGTCCCCCTCATTTTGTCTTAGTTTTATTTTTTTATTTCTTTTTCATCATTTATCTCAAAAGTAAAACTATAAAAATCATATAATTTTGTGTAAAATCATATAATTACCTAAAAATTCATATTAATCAATTGAAAACCACTTTTCACACTTTAACGTAAATATAAGTCTATTTATTATGAGTTAAGGCTAAAACTATATTATTTACTAATTATTAACTCATGATAGTGAAGACTTATCACTTGTAAATGTGATATTACTATATATTCGCCTAAAACTTTGGTGCACAAGTGATGTGGGACTAAACCCACATCACACCTTCCCTTGAAAGGCTTTGAAGATTTTAATACCTAAATTACTCCTTAGTTATAATAGAGATATACTATGACGACGTCACGTGATAAGGGCATTGGAGTACTTATTGCAATCTCTCTCATGTAGGCGGGCAATCAGCACGAGTTTGAATCCTCCTAGCGCCCAATAAAGGATTATCTCGACTTTCTTGTAGATTACCAATAAAAGATTAAGCCACTAAAATTGTTAGATCATTGGCAAAAAACTTGTCAATGCAATTCACAATCTGCCAAGAGATGAGTTGCCACCTTTTGAGAGCATATTGAATGTGATTAAGAGCCTCCTCTTGCTATAGAAACCTGAGGATGAAGCTCCTTAACACGCGCCCCACCTCCATCTAGCTCTTTTCCGCTAGGTGACTGATAAGTCTTCATTATCATGAGTTAATAATTAGTAAATAATATAGTTTTAGCCTTAGCTCATGATAAATAGACTTATATTTGTGTTAAAGAATGATTTTTGGTTTTCAATTGATTAACGTGAATTTTTGGGTAATTATGTGATTTTATACAATTTTTATAGTCTTACTTTTGAGATAAATGAAGAACAAGAAATAAAAATAAAAATATTGTAAAAATGGGGGGACCCGCCGGCCAGCCGTGCCCCCAAGCGGGCCGGAAGCACAGTCGGGGAGTAAGCCGTGAGCAGGGGCTTGAGCGGCTTGGTTTGGGGACGGATCGACAGGGCATGCGTACGCCACTCCCCTTCCACGTCACCGGTGGCCAGCCGGCTGTGGGGCAAGGAGTGGTCATACACGCGAGAGAAGGGACTTTGCTCACAAAGCTAACATTACTATATATTCGCCCGAAGAATCGGCGTACAACCGATGTGGGACTAAACTCGCGTCACACCTTCTTCAGGCAGGGCGACCGGCGCGGGTTCGAATCCTCCCAGAGTCAAAATTCATATATTTTTATCTGATTATCGCGACTTTCCTGCAGATCGCCAGTGAAGGATTAAGCAACGAGAATCGCTGAATCATCGGCAAAAATCTCGTCAACGCGATTCGCGGAGCATTGCTACTAAAATTGTTGAACGATTCGCGATAAAAGGATCGCGAATCCATCGAGTAAATCATCTCCGATTGATCGACGAACAAGCCGTCGTCGGGAAGAGGACGATCCGCCGGGAGACCAGTCGCCACCTCCTGAGAGCGTACCAGATGCGATGAAGAGCCTCCTCTTGCTGCGCGGACCTGAGGATGAA